GGTCAAAATTTGGTAAGAAAGTCCAGTTTCTTCCTGGTCACCTGAGCCAAGGAAGAAGCCAAAGTTCCCCAGGCTTTTTGGGGAGGGAAATTTCAGAAAGAAGAAATTTCAGAAAAGAAGAACCACAAATTCTGTGTATAATTCCCCCACCCTCCACTGCCCAAGTTTCCTTTACTTGAGTTCCAAACCAACTGACAGACAAAAAGTGAGACAGAGATGGGGTTAAAAATATCAAGTTTCTTACCGGCCAGTCTGGCTCAGTAGTAGAGCATCCACCAAGGAACCAGGAGATCCCTAGTTTGGTTCCTAGTCAGGGCACTGCCTGGGTTGCAGACTCCATCACAGTAGGGGACATGCAGGAGACAGCCAATCAATGATTCCCTCTCATCATTGATGTTTCTATCTCTCTCCCTCTCCCTTCCTCTCTGAAATCAATAAAAATATATTTTTACAAAAATCAGCTTTCTTCCTGTTAAAAGCTGGATCAGAGGTCATGGTGTAGATGAGGGCTAAAATAAAATTCCTAAGTCTGGATCCCAGAACAGGGCTTAGCCTCAAGTCCCTGGCTGCTCTAGTCAACCACACATATAGCCTACATCCCCAGGCTGCTGTCCCTTGCACTGGAGCTCAGAGAGCACAGAGCCCTGGCCTCTCCAGCAGGATCAGCTCAGGGAGACCCGACAAGGAGCAGACTCAACTTTACAGGACTCCCAGCTTCAGAGCCTCCCAGGAAAAAGGAGGGCAGGGGAGCAAGGAGTCCTCTTGACTGATCAGCCACCTCCCAGAAGGGGACATTGGTGTGGGGCCTGAGTGCTCCCACTTGGGTCCCAGGTGTCCCTCCTCTCCATTTCTGCATCCGCAGAGGTGCCAGGTCTTTATCCTTTGGGCCAGTGGCTGCTGAAGCTGCTGTCTCCGCTTCCTCCTGCCCCTGAATTCTTAGGTCTGGGACTCTCTCTCTCCTCTCAAGGACAAACCCTGTCCCCATAGGGTCTCCCAGGCTAGAGACTCAGCCCACTAGTGACATCTGAATAGAAGCTGCTCCTAGTGAAGCTAAGTAAGCCCAGCTCTCTGGCATAGCCTCCCTCCCCTGTCCTTCCTCAGTCACTGCCTCTACTGCTCTCCCGGTTTCCAGGCCTCTAGCTCAGGTACTTCCTGACAACAGAAATGATCTCTGTTGTCAGTGCCCCTGTTACCCTGGACAATGTCCCAGGCCCTCCCTTCTTCCTTCCACATCAAACCAGCAGATTGTCAGGGTTTCAACCTGTTTCTGAAGATGGCCTCATCTCATTCCTAACTGGGTAAGTCTGACATTGTTTTCTTGAAAAAAGTCTTTGCTTTCTCCATAGAGACCTCCGGTTTCCACAGAAACCACTGCTGTTCATGGAGTGGGGTGCTGCCTAGCTCTCTCTGGCCCTAGGAACACGTCCTTCCCTTGGCCAAGGCAGCCCCAGTTTGGGGTGTCCACAGAGGCTGGGCCCTGTGGATTTCCTGGCCACCTGACTGCTATCAGCCCCCAATTCATGTGGTAATCTTGGTAGACTCTAAACTGGCATATTTATGCCAACACCAAGCATGGTGGTGGCCTAGTCAGCCTACTTCCCATGGACAGAGGAGAGAAAGGGGAGATAAGAAAAAACTGGTGTGGTCTGTGTGAGACCTTTTCTGGGCCCCAAACACCATGAGAGCAGAAGCACATGACTGCTGTGTTACAGCTGGATGATGTGAGACTCAAAGATCAAATATGAAATCCATCCCTCTACAATGTATAGTCTACATAATGTCTGCTTCTTCAGCCCATGTACAAACACTGGGACCCATTCAGTTGGCTGCAGGCTATCCAAAGGCCTTGGTGAAAATTTGTAGTTTTTGTCTTTTCCCACAGGCATCTCCACAAGAGCTAGGGGCAACCCGGAGTTCACCACCCATCCTATCTAATAAAAGAGTAATATGCAAATTGCTGTCACTCCAACACACAATATGGCCACCCCCATATGGTCAAAAATGGCTGCCCCTATGTGAACACAAGATGACCTGCAGAGGAGGGCATTTGGGGCAATCAGGACTGCAGGGAAAGGTAGCTTGGGGGCAATCAGGCCAGCAGGGGAGGGTAGTTAGGAGTGACAGGGCAAGCAGGGCAGTTGGGGGCAATCAGGCCAGCAGTGGAGCAGTTAGGCATTGATCAGGTTGCAGGGAAGTGGTTAAGAGGTGATCAGGCTGGCAGGCAGGCAAGCGGTTGGGAGCCAGAGTCCTGGATTGTGACAGGGCAGTTGGACATCCCTCAAGGGGTCCCAAATTGGAGATGGTGCAGGCTGGGCTGGGGGACAACCCCTTCCCTTTGCACAAATTTCATGCACTGGGCCTCTAGTTTTAAATGTTATAATGAACATAAGGGTGTATATATATTTTTTAGTTAGTGTTTTCATTTTTTGGAAAACAAAAACACCAAAAAAATAAAACAAAAACAAGTGTGTTGCTGCATCATATGGTAGTTTTATTTTTAATTTTTAAAGCAAATGCCATTGTGTTTTTCATAGGGTCTGCATCACTTTATATTTCCACTACAGTGAACAATAATTCTGTTTTCTTCAGATCCTCCTCTATATTTTTTGTTTGTTTGTTTGTTTTTTGTCTCTCTGATAATAGCCATTCTAACAGGTATTTCTTTTAGAATGTTTTTAGTAGCAGCCTGGAGTTCAAAACATGCAATTTATGCCACTTCACCTGTAGCTCAGGCACCCTATAATAGTATTACTGCTTTCCATCCCTTATGACATTGCTATCATTGTTGCACTTATTTATGTGCTATAATCATCACCTTTTTCAATCAGAGACATCTGGTCTCTCTGTCTGCTGCTGAACTGCCATTTTGGATTTCTCTTTAATGTCTCCAAGGTTGAATTCATTGCCTTCTTATTTTCATGTCTTTTTCATTTCAGTTTGCTTTTCTGTTTTTCTGCAATCCATCCTATTGTAGTTTCCTAAGAGTGAGAGTGTACTGCACAATATTCTACATGAAATAAATAAACAAACAAACTAGAATCATACTAGATGACAGAGAAATTTTGCAAGGTATTAATAAATAAAAATTGATGCAGAAAAGCAGTGTATGATGCAGAGAAAGTAATGCAATATTGTAATGTACAATAATATAATGAAAAAATCTTGCAAGATATGGGTAGATTACAGTTTTAGGTAGAGGGAATTATATGCTTAGGGGAATTTAGGGATGCAGATATACAAGGTTATTAAAATGGATTATGCAAGAAGTTGAGACAATGAAGTGGATGAAACAAGCAAAATATAAAAATATAATAGTGATTTCATAAAACTTTAAGAACACAAATTTTCATTTTTAAAAATTGTATATTTGTATTAGCAAATACGTAAAGAAAATAAATAAATGTTTAGGAAAAATATCCAAAATGGATGTTTGTAAAGTAAAATTTTTTATTCTTACATGTCTGATTCACTCTGAGGATTGAAAGTCTGGCTCTACAGTCACTGTTACTGAACAGATGTCTCAAACTATTCTTGAGATCATTTTCCCTTAGGTGATCAGGTTTTTAATTGTTCTAGAAGCTTTTAAATTCTTCTCTTTGTTCTTTAGTGTTGTCATTTTAAAAATGATGTACCTTAGCTTGCTTTTGTTAAAATGCATTTTTCTAAGTACCCAGTTGTGCTTTTTCAAAGTCATCTCATTTTACTCTGTGGTGTCACCCCTTAAAGAATTCTCTTGATATATTCCTCCTCTGCCTTTTCCTTGTACAGTTTTTTTAAGTCCAATTAGGCCGATATTATAACACCTAAGTGAATCCTAACCCTCTTATATTTTCTCTCAAATTTATTACTTTTTCCCTTTTAACCTGTTTACTTAATTTTCTAGAAAATCTCCTGTACTTTATTTTATAAATATTTTAGTAAATATCTAAAAATTAACAAATATCTAACCACTATCTCTTTCTTTCTCTGTATACCTTTTTTTTTTTTTTTTTTTTTTTTTTTTTTTGTTGTTTTTTTTTTTTTTTCTTTTTTTTTTTTTTTTTTTTTTTGCATTTGTGGGTACAATATGTATTCTCAAATCTCTCTAAATATATTATTGATAGTTTCTAAAAGTGTTCTCTTATTTTCAACAATATCCTTGTCTGTCCTGGGGTAATCTTTTTAATATTATCCCTTCTTTTATTTATTGGTAAATATTCTAAAATTACTGTTGAACTGTAGTTGTACTTACTTAAGAGAAGACTCTAAAGATCAATAAGTATCGATGGAATATTAAAGAAAAAGATGAAAAACTATATGAATAGCTCAATAGTTGCAATTTATAGTATTCAATATCTATCATAAAACTCTCAATGAACTACAAATAAACAGAACTTCCCTTTAAAAAATGTACAGCAAATATCATTATGATACTGAATGCTTTTTCTCTGAGATTGGAAACAAGACAAGATTTGATGTTTGCTTCTTTGAGAGAAATGAAAAGACGTACATGGAAAGAGGGTAGAACTTTCCCCTGTATCTTAAATGAAATAAGGCAAGAACCCTTATTTACAGCCGGATAAAGTTTGGCTCATGGGAACAAATATGGAAATCATTGTAGACTCTAGAGTCTAGAGAATGTTGCTTCTCCAGTCCTGTTTCTGAACATTGAGACCTAAAGCGTCAGGTCTCTGTACCTTCTTAGAAAGTTGCAGCAGGTGAAGACAGTAGTATTCACAGGCTTTTTTCATGTTTTTGACAAGCCAGGGGACTCCTAGGGGATCCTGCTCTCCTGGTCTCCAGGTCCCTCCTGTCCCTCCTTGTCCTCCAGTCCTGTGGCCACATGTCCTGATGGCTGAGAGAAAACACACTCCCTCCCTCCCCCCGCCCCCACCCCACCGCAGCCCTGGAGCTGCAAGCTGCAAGAGGAGGCAGACAGTATCTGAAAACACTCAAAAAGTTGTTTTCACTTTTCATTTCCTCATTTGGGTGGAGCCCTGGGTGGGGCGGGGGGGGGGGGGGTTCACTCACTTCCTGCTCAGGGTTAGGCAGCCACAGTGGACCCAGGCTGGGGAGACTGGAAGAATCAGAGGTCCAGGCAGACCCCAAGGCAGGACGATGGCCAGTGGGAGCAGCGACCTCAGCACCAGGTCAGTCTCTGTCTCCCTTCCTTTAACTTTCTGTCTGGCTGTGCTGCTGCTTTAGTGTGTGTCAGACACTCGTCTAAACCTTGATCTCATCCTGCTTTACAAGGACACTGATGTGCAATGTAATGAAATGTAATGAAGTGAAGGAATTGGATCTTTAAACTGCAGAGGGTCAGCTGCTGGTGTGAGAGCAGCTGCCACAACCCACAGGACTCTTATTTTAAAGCTACTGCTCAGCTGTGGGCCATCTGGACTCGGCTATCGTTTTTGATGCTTTGAGGCAGTGATTTATTATTTTCTTATGATCTTTGAATCCTCTCATTTCCCTCAGCCTTGTATGGCCACCTTAAGACGGCCAGTAGGGGAGGGCAGTTAGGGACAACCTGGCTAGCAAGGGAGGGCAGTTGGGGGTGACCAGGCCCACAGAGGAGGGCAGCTGGTGTTAGGGGCAATCAGGCAGGCAGGCAGGCAAGCAGTAAGGAGCCAGTAGTCCTAGATTGTGAAAGGGTTGTCTGACTGCCGGTTTTGGCTGACTCCTAGGAGATCAGGCCTAAACCTGAAGTCAGACATCCCCTGAGGGTCCCAGATTGAAGAGAGTGCAGGCAGGGTTGAGGGCCCCCTTCCACTGTGCACAAATTTTGTGTACTGGGCCTCTAGTATTATATAATGTTGTACCTTCTTTTAGTATTTATATCAAAACATTCATTTTTTTATCCTAATACATTATCTCAAGCATATAAATATGTATATTATCATATACAGTGTATGTAAATTGTGGTAATGGTAGGCATCACTGTTTTTTATATGAATGGCCTCGTCATTTCAATGGTTACTTTTGTATTTGTCATTTTGGGAGATTTTATATTGGGTCAGCTTCCATCAATTTCATGTAATTTTTCTAAAAATTGCTGCTAGGTATTCCCAATTTTCCTTTTCAATTAATTTGTGGATATAACAAATACTCTTTCTGCTTTTGTTTATTTTTTTTAAATAAATCTTTACTGTTGAAAGTATTACATATGTTCCTTTTTTCTACCATTGCCCTCTCCCACCCATCCCCCAAGCCCTCACCACCCTATTGTTTGTGACTATGGGTTATTCATATATGCATATGAGTTCAGAGGTTGATCTCTCGGGACCAAATGCTCTGTCTTCCATCTGCAATTTGATATTCTGTTTGATGTTTCTATGTCTCTAGGTTTATTTGTGTTCATTAATTTATGTTATTCATTAGATTCCACAGTGAAATACCACTGAACAATAAGAGGAAAAAATTTCTATTCACCCAACAACATGAATGATGAGCAAAAGAACTCAGACATATAAGCATACATGATATATTATTCCATTTATGAAATCTGTCATAGGCAACAGGAAAGTATGATAATAAAAAGAAGAGCAATGTTTACAACGGATAGGTTGCTTGGCTCGAGGTGGTCAGGATACAAGTTGAGGGATGAAGGGGACATCTCCCCATTCTTCATTTTTCAAATGGCACATCAATGTTTAGCACCATGTCTCCCTTTCAATCTTCACCACCTTCAAGATCCCACAGGGCAAACTGGTTGCCTGCAGGGAGCAACCTTTACTTTCAGTAACAATTATTTTCCTCTGACCATTTTTTGTTGAAATCTCTCATTTACACATTGCCCCCTGCCATTCTATTTGTCATTGTGAAGTGTATTTTTTTAAAATTATCATTTTAGTGGCATTTTAATAAGATAGAAATACAAATGGTTTCTCTCGTGTCTTTAAATAAGAAACTCGTTTTTATAGAATTTGACAAAATAATGTGACATTATTATTTCCTGATGCTGGAAAGAGCCAATAATTTTCTTCTATAATAGTTCCAAAAAGGAAGCTTATGAGTCTTCATGATTTAGGAATACAAAATGCCTATTAAAACATTATTATTAGCCCAGCCGACATGGTTCAGTAGATGTGCGTCCATTTATGAATCAGAAGGCCAAGGTTCAATTCCTGGTCAGGGCACATGCCTGGGTTTCAGGCTCAATCCCCAGAAATGGGTGGGAGGGGGCATGCAGGAGGCAGCCAATTAATAATTCTCACTCATCATTGATGTTTCTGTTTCTCTCTCCCTCGCCCTTCCTCTTTGAAATCAATAAAAATATATTTAAAAAACAAAACATTATTACCAAAGAAATAAAATATTCAACTAAGAAGCAGAATTACAGACTCAGGTTTACAATTACTTTCACAGGAAACAGCAGCCACTTCTGAAATTAAGATGTCTAAAAAGATTTATTTTATACAATAACTAGAGGCCTAGTGCATGACATTCATGCACTCAGGCAAGGGATGGTCCTCTCAGCTCAGTCTGTGTCCTTTAGCATTATGGGAGCCTTTGGGGGATGCTGGACTTAAGACTTAGGCAGGAGCCGGCCTAAGCCTTCAGTTGGACATCCTTAGCACTGCTGCAGAGGTGGGAGAGGCTCCAGCTACCACTGCCAGCAGTGAGCCAGGCTTATGGCTGAGTGGCACTCTCCCTGTGGGAGTGATCTGATCACCAGGGGGAAGCTCCCTGGTGGTCAGTGCACATAATAGCAACTGGTCATTCCACCATTCAGTGTATTTGCATATTACCATTTTATTATATAGGATAGCACAGACAGATACATATTAACATAAAGCAGAAGTTAAGAAAAATTATTGATATTCTTATGAAATTTCAGTTTATGCCTCATCATATAATTATTAAACCATATCTAATCATTTATGGACTAGTTTTAAAATTCAGGATGTTATTTCTCTTAACTGATGTATGTCAGGGAGGGAACACCATGTTTTTATCTTTTTGAGATTTATTTTCTCTTAGTTGTTAATTAAGATACATTTTTAAGCTTACATACTGTTTTTATACCATTTTTTCTTATTCCTCTGTGGATAACCTGTTTAGTCCATCTCACTTTTGTACAAATTAAAACATTTTGATAAAACATTGCAGTATGTTTGTTACAAAATAACTTTACAATGGCTTTGATCATGACATGCTTACATTCTTTCTAATCTACCAGGCTTGATTTTATGATAGTTTTATCTATTGCTGCCATTCTATTTGTTCTAATCTTTATTCAGGACCACTTATTTTAATTATTTTTGTTCTTCAAAGCCTATCTATCCTTCATATATATAATGTTACAGCATATCAAAACCTTGATGGCCATTTTCTCATTGTATCCCTTCTCCCTAGGATGTCTGCAGAAGATGGGAACATAGAAAACAAATGTATCAATGACCTTGCACTCACATATTTCAAAAGATATAAGGTGGATATTTCAGACGCAATAAAAACAACATTTCCTTTCCTTGAACTTCTCCGTGACCGCGATTTCATAACCGAAGAAATGTATGAAGTAAGTGAGGTTTATTATGTTACAATCTGATAAAACAACCCTAAACGAAGTTATACTTTGATATCCTGGAATTAAACATCAGAGCATAACTGAGCAACCGAGGAGTTGCCTATGAGTGGAAACCTTCCCAAGTACTGCTATGAAATATTCCTATAAGGTCAAAAGAGGGAAGAGAAGGAGTCATTACTAATGGAGATAGTGCTGATTCTAACTGAAGGAATGGTCTACATGGTGCCCCTGGGAGCTGTGAGAATAGCACCGGAGATAGGCTGGATCTGAAGTGGGTGTACAATGCCTTCTAGAAATTATATATACAGTGTAATATAAACTAGAAGTTAAACATAATATTAATGAACTAGAGGCCTGGTGCACAAAATTCCTACATGGGGGGTGGTGTCCCTCAGCCCAGCCTGCACCCTATCCAATCTGGGACCCCTTGAGGGCAGTCGGATATCCCTCTCACAATCCAGGACTGCTGGCTCTAAACTGCTCGACTGCCTGCCTTGCTGATTGCCCCTAACTGCTTCTGGCTGCCAGCTTTATCATCCTCTAACCACTCCCCTGCCAGCCTGGTTGATGCCTAACTGCTCCCCTGCCAACCTGGTCACCCCTAACTGCCCTCCCCTGCCAGCCCAGTTGCCCCCAACTTCCCTCTTCTGATGGCCTGGTCACGCCTAACTGCCCTCCTCTGCAGGCTTGATCATCCCCAACTGCCCTCCCTTGTAGGCCTGGTCCTTCCCAATTGCCTTCCCCTACTGACCTGATCGCCCACAACTGCCCTTCCTTATAGGCCTGGTTCTTCCCAACTGTCCTCCCCTGCTGGCCATCTTGTGACGGCTGTCTTGTGTCCACATGGGGTCAGCCATTTTGTGTGTTGGAGTGACAGTCAATTTGCATATTACTCTTTTATTAGATAGGATGGGTGATAAAGTTGAATGACTTAATTTAATAAAATAATATAATAATTGACATAACATTTCATTTCAGTGAACATCAGTTTAAATATTTAGATCTGAGAATATTAAGATCCACAGAGAATTAATGTCTTATTAGGACATATTTAAAAGTAGATGCTTGCTATGCTTTCAACAAAAGCTTTCAGTTCCCTTTCTATTTTCCCACTTTCTCTTGGTATTTCTGGAGTCTTAAAATTTAGGTTAATTTTAGCAAAAGACTTAGGTGGAAATAGAGATGCATGGCTTCACTTTCCCTGTGCATAGGCTTTCTTTATGGCGAAGTTCACAGGAGCTTCCAGGCCAAGTCAGTCTTGGGGAAGGGACAAGGGCTATCCAGTCAATAGAACAGCAGCTCATCACCCACTAAGTCTATTCCTAAGACATTTAGCCAGTCTCTGAAAGGACTACATATTACTTCACTTGAAACCATTTTTGTTCTTCCTAAGGACTCCTTATTCCATCTCATATAAATGAGGGTGAGGAGTTCAGATTCACAAATGGGCGTTTTCTAAGAGGAAGGATTTAGTTGTTCCACTTAGAAGCCACACAAATATAGAGAAATTCTAAAACTGTATGTGAGAAGATTCCTATGTTGGGAAATCACTATGCATTAACAATAAAATCACTTTCTAGGGCTCTTCTGTAACTTGGAAGTCTGTATTTATATTTTCTCTATTCACTGTTTTTAAGAAATCTCAAGAATCTTTAAAAAAACGGTCTCCTGTACATGAAGTCATATATGATGTTCTCAGTGAACTGGAGAAGAAATTTGACATGTCTCTTCTGGGAGCGCTGTTCAGCAAGACCATCATGAAGACTTACCCTGATTTATTTCGCATTTACAAAATATTCTACAAAGGTAATTAGGTTTATTACCTACAGTTTGATGTCCAGGGCCAATTTATTCCCACAGGTATATATTGAGTGTCTACCATGTGGCACACAAGATGCTGGGTAGTGTGGATATAGCAGTTAAGAAAAGACAAATAATGAGCCTCTCAAAGTTTATGATATAATAGTTAGAATACAAACACCCAGCTGCAAATCTGCTTAACTGGGCATTTAGAGTCACAGGACCACCAGAGCCATAGGGACATAGGATTTACTTAGAAGAACACATGACAAGGAACATAACATCCCCAAAAGGCAGCATTAATTGCTCCTCTTCTATGGGTCCATTTGCAAAGCTCCATATAGCAGTCCACGAAGTTGTATACAACCTGCCTAAGTGATGGCTTGGATATGGGTGCTGGATCCACCCTGATTTAGCTTTAGCATGCCCAGGGGAATCAATATATCATGGAACAACTCTGTGGTCATAACTTTTAGAGATTACTTAAGGAACAGTTGAGTTACAACAATCACCACATTGAAGGAAGACAAAAAATGGATTAGAGTTAACATCTAGTCCCTCCTAGGCCACATGCAATTTACCTACCTACAGTCACTGGTCATTTTTAACTCTAAGCTCAGTGTTGGTCTATTAACACAGAAGAAAGGCCACGTACATCAGGTTTCCATAGTAGTGAGCAAGGTCAAATTTCCTCTTGAGGAAGTAGAAATGGTCAAAAGGTGTGATCAACAATCAAATAATAATAATAAAAAAACCAATTGCTTTGCCTATACAATAATACCGATTTGATTCTCTACTTTTTCCCTGAGGTGGCATGATTTCATATTTTTTATTGGTTCTCAGTAAAGAAGATGTCCTTCAATAATTTTTGTTAGACTTGCCTAGAAAAATTTTTTATTCTATATACTTTTAGTCTCAAAAAGATCTCCACATAATGCTGGAGAATTGAAAAGAAAAAATGATTTGAACTGAGGAATGTAATGCCACAGGAGCAAGCATAGAGTGTTAAAGAGTCCATGTGTATGCAGAACAAGGACATATTAGATTAATCTCAGAGTGAGAAGCAGATTGTGGGAGTTTATTCAAATGTGGTAAATATAAAATAATATTTTGGAGGTCTGGCTTCAAAAATTAAGTAATTTGATGTTATCTACTACATGGTAAAGAGATAGTCCCGATTTGTAAGGTTAAAAGTATGGAGTTATTGCCCCAGGAGGTACCCCTGCCATCAGCCCTTAGGAATATTGTCTAACTGCTTCCCTCCATCTCTTCCCTGGTGCCTCAAGAGACCTGCACCAAGGATTATTGGTGTATTACCTTCCTCCATATGTTTGCTGAGCTACCTACATGCAGTAGCTCAAGGCTGGTGCTGTGTTCTCCCCTTTTTAGCAGTCTTCCAAGATCCCTGGTCCAGGTATCTTGGGATGTTCGCCTGTGCCATAATATTCAAACCCTGCTTTTGTCTTCAAAGAGTGCATTTTTTTTTTTTGTCCTTGGATCTGGATGCCTCTGGGACATCTTTCTATTTGCTCCCATGTTTTATGATTTATCTCTTTGGGAAGCACTCATCCTCCATGACTCAGTGAAGCCAAAACTTCTCTTGTCCATTCATATTTTTAAAGATTTGGGATTTTATCCTTTTTTATACATATAAACCTCTTTGTTTCTCTCACAAGGAAATCCCTCTCTTTTTCTTTACAGTTAAAACAGTTCAGTAAACAAATTTCAAAATAAATAGTACATCATTTATTTTTATATATGCTTTCCTGGCCAGTTGAAATTTTTTACATGAGTAACAAGCTCATGATGCTGCCACAATTCTTTTATCTTGAAATTCAAGTGACTCTTTACTGTGTGGGAAGCAGAAAGACTCCTTAACAAAGTCATTCACTTTCTGTCCCAGGAATGAAAAGGGAACATTACTAACAGGATTGGGAACCACTGAGTACTGAGTGACCCAAGGGTTGGAAATTCCTTAACGTGTAATTTCAAATGACTCTTGTCCCATAAAGATCTCTAATTATCTTCTTTTCTTGCCCTCTCTTCAGTGATACCAGTAATAAAATTCCTCCTAAAAAGTGATGGAGGAGAAGAATATGAGGAGAGGCCTAATGAACGACTAAGCCTAGAACAAGGTAATTGCAAACAGACAGAAACCGATTCTCCTCTGCTAAGAAGAAAAGAGTATGGAAAGTGGGCCTGAGTCTTGAGTGGAATTTGGGAATCAGGGAAGATCTGTTCAAGAGCACGGAGGGCTGTTTGTATGAGAGTCTGACCAGGGGCTGATCCTGGAGGAGGAGCTCTGACAAGAGATCCTAGGTCCAATAACCAAGACAGAGGAATGGGAACCCAGTGTGTCAGGAAACCAGATTTAGAGATGATGCTGACCTGGAGGTAACTGTGATTTAGAAAGACCCTGCAGCAGAAGATGAATGTGGAGCTGTGAAGGGCTAAGAACTATGGTCCCAATGTCAACATCACAGAAGATATTCTGGATGATGGTAGAAGAGACTATTTAAATGTGGAAGATGCTGTTTAAGAGAAGAAATAGCCAAGGAGATTGGCAGTCATATAGGGAGGGAAGAGGGGAAATGGTAAGATGTGTAGGAGGGGATGGGTATTTTGAGAGAGAGAAGGAGGGGAAATGGAAGGTAGGAGAAAGGGTTAACAGACACAATAACAACAAGCATATTACTAAGAGCTCACTTACAGATCATTTACTCTGGCAGTTGTGGGCTTAGTGCTCACAGCTGCTCTTGGGAAGAAGTATCAATCTCTGTCCAATTGCAGAAAAGGAGACTGAAATCTCAGAGGACCAGTATGTAGTTGGCCTGGGGTCAAAGAAGTAAAATGAATCTAGGTTTTCTGAACCTAGAACTTGTGTGCTTAACCCTATACACATCCAGATAATCTCATGGAAAGACAATTATGGTCAAAAGAAGAGAAATGTGCAGAGAGAAAGATACAGAAAGAACAATATCCAGGAGCTGGAGGAAACATAGGAGATGTAGACATTGAATCTCATAAAAAGGCTAAGAAGACATAGAAACAGACATGCATATGAAGGGTGTGGTGTGAAGGAGGCTCAGACAAGGAGACATGACTTTGTAGGAAGTCAGATAAGTCTACCAATCGGGTATACCTGGCAACAAAAACAGGTTCCCTATAGATGTGTGTAACAAGAAAAGCCATCTCTGGTTACTGAATAGCTCCTGAATGATATCAGTGAGATGGCCTGGCTCATGACAGAGGGCAGCTGATGGCATGAGTTGAGTAGGATCTTCCAGGTCCAGATGGGCTCTGTATTGATACCTGGGAGAGGGGATCTTGAACTTCAACTTTATAAAGATTAAATTGGATTAGGAAAGAATGGCATAGCCCATACTTCAATTAATGAAATAAACCTTTCATTTCTTCCCTCAGGAATTGGTGGTAATTCAAATCAAAGACTGATGTTGTTAGGCCCAGATACCTGGAATTACAACGGTCTGTTCCTATTGACTATTCTGTTACCCTTTGTCGTTCTTGTCTCATCTGGCAGATGCTAGGGTGTGGGAATTGGGGGCAGGGAGGTTGCTTCTTTTTAGTAATAATTGCCCAGAAAAGTCAGTCTTTGCATTGGCAATTTCTCTAAGGATTTAGATAACAGGGTGTTCATTTTCTTGGTTACCTTGGAGGGTCGCTCTTTCCATACTCCTGAAATGCACTGGCTTCCAGCTTCTGACAGCATAGGCCTGGATGTAATGCCATGCACCTTGCTTCAGTTTTCTGCCTCTGTCTTGCTTGCATCTGGCTGTAGCCTTGCTTTGACATTACATTGAGTGGTGGCCAGCACTGCAGCGAGGGTGGTGGGGTAAGGGTGATGAGTGTGTTCTCCCTAGGCCAGGGGTCCCTCACACAGGACCATGTGCCTCCAGAGCAAACCTCTCCCATCATCTCTGGGGCAGCATACCTGCAGCTGCTCTAAAAACATCATAGAAGTCATTATCATGTAACTTGCATTGGGATGTGTTATTTAAGAAAGGATGTTCTAAATTAGTAATACATTTTTATAAAAGAAAAAAAAACCTTCAGAATGTTTTGAAAGCACCTATAGTTTTAGCTATTAACATTTAGGAAAAAAGTTAATATTTAAGAATATAAAATATCTACCATGCATCAATCCATATTCTTAGCAGTTCACCTACCAGGGTAGCTGGGGGGAGGGGGAAAGAGGGGAGGAGAGGCGGGGATGAAAGGAAGGAATAATGATAATGAACAGAGAAGGGATTCAGTGTATGTATGCACAGGAATTAAGTGTGGGGGAAGGAGAAAATGATATGACAACTCTAATGATGCACAACAAACCACCAATAAACAAGTCAAAGTGTCTGACTCAGCTGGGACAGTTGACTGACCAGCACAGGTAAGGGAAAAGCTATGCCTCGGACCCTTTCCCCAAGAGGAGGTTCCAAGGAACTGTGGATGTGGCACAAAACATGCACCAGGGCCCAGTTACTATGGTAATTGTAGGAATGTCTATTGAAATCATCTTAACATAAATCATTTTGCTTAGAAAAATAGCACTAAATGAAAAAAAAAAATCTAAGCTGCTCTGAAAAACATATTTATCTTTTTATGCACTAGGGCAGGGGAGGTTCACCATGGAAAAGGAGGTATGCTGGTCCTGGGTGGTTTCCTTGGGGATTCATTCCTTATGGGTTCCTGCTCTGCTCTGCCTTCTATCTTTGGCCACAGACTCTGTGGACTTGTTTGTCATTTCCCTTGCTACTGCTTCTTGCTGAGCTCCTAAACTGGGTGCTACTAGCAAGAGAGTGGAGGGGGAGGGAGCAAAGGAGAAGCATGGTATTTCCCCATCACAGTCTTCGGCAGCAATTCTGGCATTGGCTACATCTCCCATGACTCTACCTCCCACCAACCAGTCCAGCCATAGTCCAGCTTTCACTTACCCAGTGACCTTGACACATGACTTCACCCTAGATTACTCCCAAAGCTTCCTGTTGACTATTCTGTGGGTTGCCAAATTCCTGCATTTGGAATTGTCAGCTCTACCATCAGGTTAATAACTAATCCCCTGGATTCAATTCCCTCTGATCCAAAAAAGCTTAGAGAGCTTTGTATTTTCCTGTTAGATTCTGATTGATGCTGAGATTGACTAAAATATCTATTAATCTAAACGTGGTCTAGATACAGCCGCACCTGAATGTGGATTCTTAGAGCACCGCCATGACACACAAGAGATAAATACAACTGAAACAGGTACAAACAGTGAAAATAAGGATGCACTAAAAAGCCAACAAGCAAATGAACAATGTGCCCAACAGTCGAAGACAGCAGGTGAGAATGGCTGGGTTTGATGAATGTGGAGGGGAAATGGTAGGTGGAGGAATTTGGTATTGTGAGTTAAAGCATAGGGAAGACTGTGGTGATGATTGAATGCTAGAAAGTCAAATATAAAGAAAGACAAAATAGATGTAGAAAAGGCATTCACGGTTCACAGGAATAATTAAGTAATTAAGAAACAGAAATAGAAAACATAACAGAGACTGGATAAACTGAAAAAAAAACCAAAAAACAAAAAACCAGGAGGGCCACCTGCAAGGAGGATCTCACTCTTAGGATCTTCTTATGTCCTGGGTACCTACAGTACGTCACCCTAGACCCTAATGGGCTCTTGGGACACTGATAAAAAAAATATAGAGAGAAAAGAAGTAGGAAAAGAGAAAAAATGCAGAGGGCAATAAATTGAAAAATGGGGGGGAGATACAAAGAGAACTATGTTGAGAAGGAGTAAAGGACAATGAATGAAGACCTGGTAGGGAGTGAATTAGGTAGAAAAAGAGGGCCAAGCATTGTCTCATTTGAGAATCACCACAAAGAATGCACAAAGGGATGTTCCTAACACCATTAAGGAGGAAATGTGTCCACAAAATAAAAATGGCCCTAGAACCCACTCAGATAAAAACAGGCCTCTCCCCCGGACAGTAAAACATGTACAATTAAGAGAGGCACCAGGTGCCTGGCATTGCGGCTCAGTAGTTCAGCATCCACCCAGGAACTAAGAGATCGCCAGTTCCATTCCAAGTCAGGACACATGCCCGGGTTGATGGTTGGATCCCCAATATGTGCAGGAAGGAGTATGTGCAGGAAGCAGCTGATCGATTATATTTCTCTTGTTTCAGTGCTCCTACTTCTCTATCCCTTTCCCTCCCCTCTCTCTAAAAATTAATAAAAACATTTTTTTAAAAAAAGAGACACAAGAAAGGACAGAGTCGAGGAGCAGAAAAGAACAGTGGTGAGAAAGTCTTCCCCTGCAGTGGAACTACAGGGAGAAGGGCTTGTTGATTGCCGTGAGGGTGCTCACTCCCTTAGAGGAGGCAAATGAAATTCTTCATTTATTACATTTCTTCCAGGAGCAGAGATACTCCACCATGGAATCCAAACCAATTCCTGCTCTGTAGACCCAGTGGATATAAAGGAGGAAAAGCCATTTTTAAATTCAGGAGTTGAATGTGAAGTCCGAGCAATGACTAACTGTAACCAGGCATCTGACGTAATAGGTAAGGGTGACTGAAAGAATGGGTAATGTGAATCCAAGTAGCAGGCAAGCGTCTGGGACATGTCATCAGGGCCCATGGAGGCAGTGCTGGTGACCTTGGTTAGAGGTAGAAAGAGGAGGGAACAAGTGCCTTATGAATGGAGTTCAGAGGGAAAATGTCCCCAGTAATTTGAAAAAAATATCAAAAACAGGAATGATAAATGTAAATATTGATATCAGAGAGTATATTTCTAATTCAAAGACAGGAACATATTGGGGTAAGAGTTAAAGAAAAAGGAAAAGTTTTGGAGAGATAAGATATTCATGAAAGGACATGCAAAAAAACATACAAACAACGTCTAGGAAAGGAATAAAGAGATACCTTTGACAGAAACAGGCTTATTTAGCAAAATTGAATTAAACCAAGAGACTTTGCTCAGGGTGGTATGCAATTGATGCAATGTGTGAACCAATAAATTAAATTTAAAATGATATTAAATAAACAAACATATTAAAATATATCATTTGATGCCACTTTTATAAAGTTAGGCTTTATATATGTATACCTCTCTCTGAAACGACTTTCTAGTTTAGTGAATATATAGATATGTTTGTAATGATGCAAAGAAAGAAAGAGATACACTGAGGGTGGAGACAATAGAAAGAGAATGGAGGTAAGAGGTAAAGTGAAAATCTGAATTGAGGTAGAATGTGGATGGGATAGCAGGTTGAGCAAATGGGTAAGGGGTAATAAAGTGCTGCAGGATGGCCAAAGCTGCCCTCTGTGCATGTCCGTCACCACTTTCTGGGTAGGACCTGGAGCAACCTGCAGGTCACACACATCAGGCACAACCAGAGGGACCCAAGTTAACTTGGCTTCTAGGTCTTTCTAGTGATCTATGAAGTGTTTCCAACCAGGGGCAATGTGGCCCCACCCCATGATACTAGAGGTTGTTTTGTTTTGTTTTGTTTTGTTTTTGTCTTGTTCTTTTATTCTCATTTTTTTGTAGTGATCGACAGTCAGGACTTTGAAGAATTTACTGGTGGAGATGAGCCTTCCAAAGGATCCACCTTATTATTGAAACGAGAGACAGGTGAGGTGGGAGCTCAAGGCTTGGGGTGCAGGAACTTCAATTAAGAGGAACTGTTTTCTGAGGCATCAATTCTCAGTTCATCCTATACCACAGACTCAGTTTATTCTGGAATCCCATTCTCTGTGTTTATTTTACCTGACCTTTGGGATGTGCACTGTAATAAATCATTATATTTACATTTTTAAATTATGTGGCCTATTAATTTATAGGTCCTATAAATCAACCAATGCTCCTATCTATTGCCTCCATAGTAGTAATAGGCTAGCGAAGTAGTGAATTTATATTAAAACTAATTCTGTGATTATAAAGTATTGTGTTTATACATGGATTTTTACAGATAAGAGAAAGCTAAGTATTTCTTTATTGGAAGATCATATTGTCATCTAATCACAAAGCACGAATAGTGCTAAGGGTCAATTCCTCCAGCTCTCCTGTGTTAGCAGAAATAAATAAGGTGTTTTGAAACCCCAATTGTTGTTTTCTAGAAAGTTCTCCAGCAAGTGGTGACATATAGAATGTCTTTACAAAGGATCTTTACAAATAGTGTTTTACCTTTTCCTTTACAACAACCCTGAGGAGTGAGAAGGATGGCCATTATTACTCTTGTTTCTAGATAAGAAAACAAAATCACACAAATGTTTCAAACCTTCCACAGAGTCTCATGGAGATAAAGGAAAAGGCAAGACTAATTTCCTGGATTCTGTGTTATTTTATTTTATTTTATTTTATTTTGTAAATCTGGAACTCAAAATAGTTATCAAAATCTTGTTTTATGTAGCATGAGCGGTCATCAGATCTGCAGCACTTTAGTTGACAAAGTGGAGATTGTTTTTCCCTTCCTACTTTCCCAGAGGTGTTAGAAACATGTCTTTTGAGGTAAACCAACTAGGAGAAGAACAAAACACAAATAAAGATGTGACCTAGTCTTGATGTTACAAGACAATATTGTAAATAATACTTTTATTCTAATAGTTCTCTATATCTATCAATGTAAAATGTAAGTTTCCTTCTGTTTATAGAGAGTGCACATTGTGACTGTGACTTAGTGTAGGCAAAGAGCTCTCAAAAGTGGTCCCCAAATAAGCTCAGACACAAGAGATTATTTCAAGATGCACCAGGGGGTAGAAGAGGCTCCCTACCAACAAGTTTCTCAGCATGAGATTTCCGAGGTCTCCCCACAAAAAACAGCAGATGAAGGAAGTGTGAAATGGCAATAGAAGGGTAAGCAGTAGAACAGAGGGAAGTGTAGGAAGGTAAAGTTCAAATGGAGCACAGGGACTTTTTTGCGATTGATTTGTATCTGCTATGGGGACATGAATTAGAGCATCACTAACTTACAAGGCAGGTGACTTAAAGGGACAGATCAGGTGGCCTATGTGCAGGCCATGGTATATATAGGTTTTCAAAAATTTTCAAGTTGTCTTAGGGAACTCCGTGCTGCATTGGTTCCCTGGTCATACAGTGAGACACCTAGGAATCCTATTCCTTAGGACTTGATCCCTTAGAGTAACACAGAGAGGAGAGACCCAAGAAGCCACCTGTTCATGACACTAAACTATGTCAGATAATATTGTATTTCTGGACAAATATCCAGAGTCTAAATCTGGAGCTCTGTTTTAGTGATGAATCTTTTTCTGAGGTTCTCTACAAGCATTGATACAATTTTAAACATTTAGCTATTTCAATCCTATTGGAATATAGGAGGAGGAAAGAGGCATTATAAGGTTGTTTGACTGGATGAGCGCAATCAATTGATATATGGAAAAAGAAGCAATAATATACTAGTAAATAAGTCTTTTTACTACACACTATCATATTCTAATACCAAAGAGTTTATATTCTATAAAGCAGAATGAGCACAATATTTCACTGTTGACAATAGTGTATTAATATTAAACTTAGAAGTCTTGAAAGTATAACTTGTGCTAACATTAATTACTTCTGAAAAACATGGTTTAGACTAACTATTGTACTTTCAAACTTAAATAATATTTAAATGGTAGACTTACATTTTTACTTATCACAGGGATTTTGTGAATAAAAGTTTATTCTTTTTCACATAAACCTTAATAGAGAGACAGGGTACATAGGTTATCCCAGCATTCATAGTGAGAGGAACTGGAGATGATAATGTTTCAGGGTTATTTACAAATTCACATGGAAAGCAAATGGGAACACTAGGCAGGATCCCAGCATTGGGCACCAGAACTGGGTTCAAGTGAGAGAAAGAGAAATATGATCATGTAAACATTACAATTATCACAAACCCTATCTGTTGTGTGAGTTGTCATAGACTCTGTAAGACCACTGCAAACAAATACTGTTCTCTTTCTTTTAGAGTTTATGGAATTCAGAAAATCACCTACATCTGGAAAAATAGTTTGCGAAACAGGCAAGAGCAAGCAAATAAGAACTTTTCACTGACAAATGAACAGTGTTTTTGTTTGTTTGTTTGTTTGTTTGTTTGTTTTTTTACAAAAGATTAATTTTAATTCTTGCTAGTTTATATAAAATACAAATTTGTTTTAATATAAGATACTTCATATTTTCACTTTTGTATTAGTTAGGCTAATGGCTGTGATAAATTAACCTAAAGAGGCCAATCACTCAAACACAATTCAATTTCAATATTTTTATCAAGTAAACTTTCCAAACATTTTTAGAAATGTGGTGGAGGCGGGGGGCGAGGGAGAAGAATGTTATTCACAAAGTCATTCTGGAAAGCATACCAATGAGAGATCTGCCTTCTTTAATACCAGATTTCTAAGACCACCTTGAGAAAGCAGCAGAGCTAAAATATAATATAATTGCAGATATGCACACAAATCCATAAGCTACATGTAAAAGAAGAAACTGAATGTAGTGCATAATACAGGTTGCAAAAAGAAAACAGAGAAACTCTGGCCAGAGTGGCTCAGTTGGCTGAGCATCCTCATATGCACCCAGAGGTCACTGGTTTTATTCCCTGTCAGGGCACTATGCCCAGTAGGGGTATGTGCAGGAGGCAGCTGATTCATCCTCTCTCATTGATATTTATATATCTCTATTTTCTCTCTCTCTCTCTCTCTCTCTCTCTCTCTCTCTCTCTCTCTCTCTCTCTCTCTCTCTTCCTTCCTTCCCTCTTTCTCTTAATCAATCAATAAAAATATGGTGCTGTTTTTTTGTGTTGTTTTTTTAAATATAATTTATTGATTTTTTTACAGAGAGGAAGAGAGAGGGAAAGAGAGTTAAAAACATCGATGAGAGAGAATCATCGATCAGCTGCCTCTTGCACACCCCCAAATGGGGATGTGTCCGCAACCAAGGTACATGTCCTTGACCAGAATCGAACCTGGGATCTTTCAATCCACAGGCTGATGCTCTATCCACTGAGCCAAACCGGTTTCAGCTGGTGCTGTTGTTTTTAAGAGAGGCATAAAGGACAGGCTTGAGTAGCAGATGGATGAGCTTTCCCCTGAAGTGGAATTATAGGGAGAAGGGCTTGTTGATTGTCGTGCGGGTGCCCACTCCCTTAGAGGAGGCAAATAAAATTCTTCATTAATTACATTTCTGTCCAGGAGAAGAGCTACTCCACCATGGAACCCAAACCAATTCCTGCTCTGTAGACCCAGTGGATATAAAGGAGGAAAAGCCATTTTTAAATTCAGGAGTTGAATGTGAATTCCAAGCAAAGACTGACTGTAACCAGGCATCTGACATAATAGGTAAGGCTGACTGGAAGAATGGGTGAGGTGCATCCCCGGACCAGACAAGGATCTGAGACATGTCATCAGGGCCGTTGGAGACAGTAATGGTGGCATTGATAGAGGTAGAAAGGGAGGAGACAAGGGCCTTATGCAGTGAGGTCAACAGAAACATGACGCAGTAATTGGAAAAAATATCAAAAACAGGAATGGTAAATTTAAGTGTTGATATCAGAGTGTATGTTTCTATATTCAAAGAGAGGAAGGTATTGGGGTAAAGGAAATTTTTCAGAAAATGAAGATATTCATGAAAGGAGATGAGAAAAACACATACAGAAAAAGAAGGAGAGGTATAAAGGGACACTTTTGCCAGAAACCAACATAATTGCCAAAAATGAGCAGAATCAAGAGACTACATTTGAGGTGATGAGTGATTGATGCAATGTGCAAATAATGTATTTTTCAGTTGTACACTTGAATCCTGCACAGTTCTGTGAAGCAATGTCATCCCAATACATTGAGTTAAATATAAAAATAAGTACATTAAAAATTAACAATATATTATCTGATGACATTTTTAAAAGATAGCCTTTTTGTAGGTATACTTCTCTTTGATCCATCTTTCTAGCTTAATAAATATTTAGATATGTTTGGAATGAATCAAAGAAAGATAGAATGAGGATGGAGATATTAGAGAGTGGAGGTAAGAGCTAGAGTGTCGATGGGAGTTGGAATACAATGGGCATGGGGATTGCAGGTGTAGTGAGGTTGGATGAAAGAATTGTGCTTCAGGTTGGGCAAAGCTGCACTCTGTCCATGGACATCATGACCTCTCGGGTAGGGCCTGGAACAACTGAAGGTCACACACTTTGGCCACAGACCAGAGGGACCTGAGTTAACTTAACTTCTATGTCTTCCTACTGCTCCCATGAAGAGATTTCCACTCAGTGGTCTCCATGGCTTCACTCCAAGACAATGTGTGCTTTTATCTTCTTTGTGCAGTGATTGACAGTCAGGACTTTGAAGAATTGACCAGTGGAGATGGACCCCCTGAAGCTTCCACCACAGCATTGAAAAGAGAGCCAGGTAAAGAGGTGGGAGATCAAGGCTTGGGGTGCAGGAATCTCAATGAAGAGGCACTGTTTCCTGAGGCATCAATACTCAGTTCATCCTATACCACACACTCAGTTTATCCTGGAATCCCATTCTTTGTGTTTATTTTACCTGACCTTTGGGATGTGCACTTAATAAATCATTACATTTATATTTTTAAATTATGTGGCCTATGAATTCATAGGTCCTATAAATCAACCAATGTTCCCATCTATTGATTCCATAGTAGTAATAGGCTAGCAAAGTAGTGAATTTATATTAAAACTAATTCTGTGGCTATAAAGAATTGGGTGTATACAGGGATATCTACAGAGAAGAGAAAGCTAAATATTTCTTTATTGGAAGGTCATATTGTCATCTAATCACAAAGTTTGAATAGTGTTGAGGGTCAATTCCTCCAGCTCTCCTGTGTTAGCAGAAATGAATAAGGTGTTTTGAAACCCCAAAAGTTGTATTTTAGAGAGTTCTTCAGCAAGTCATGACATATAGAATGGCTTTACAAAGGATCTTTGCAAATAGTGTTTTATCTTTTCCTTTACAACAACCCTGAGGAGTGAGAAAGATGGCCATTGTTACTCTTGTTTCTAGATGAGAAAATAAAATCACACAAATGTTTCAAATCTTCCTCAAAGTTACATGGAGATAAAGGGAAGGACAATAGTAGCTTCCTGGATTCTGTGTTATTTCCTTTGTAAATCTGGAGCTCAAAACAGTTATCAAAATGATGTTCCCTCAATCCTGTGTATAGCATGAGTGGTCATCAGATCTGCAGCACTTTAGTGGACAAAGTGGAGATTGCTTTTCCCTTCCTACTTTCCCAGAGGCATTAGAAACATGTCTTTTGAGGGAAACCCACTAGGAAAAGAGCAAAACACAAATAAAAATGTGACCTAGTCTTGATGCTACAAGACAATATTGTAAATAATACTTTTATTGTAATATTTCTCTATATCAATCAATGTAAAACTAAGTTTCCTTCAGTTTATAGAGTGCACATTGTGATTGTGACTTAGTGTAGGCAAGTGGTTGGCAAATTGCACTTTGTGAACCACATGCAGCTCTTTGGCCCCTTGAGTTTTTAGCAAAGGCCATCTTAGGAGTATCCTAATTAACTTAATAACAATGTACCTACCTATATAGTCTCAGTTTAAAAAATTTTGCTCTCAAAAAAATTTCAATCATTGTACTGTTGGTATTTGGCTCTGTTGACTAAAGAGTTTGCGGACCGCTGGTGTAGACAAAGTACTCTAAAAAGTGATTCCAAAATAAGGCAATGGATCAGACACAAGAGATTATTTCAAGGAGCACCAGGGGGTAGAAGAGGCTCCCTACCAACAAGTTTCTCAGCACGAGATTTCCGAGGTCTCCCCACAAAAAACAGCAGATGAAGGAAGTGGGAAATGGGAATTGAAGGGTAAGAGGTAGAACAGAGAGAAGTGTAGGAAGGTACGGGTCAAACAGAGCACTTGTGCTCTTTGTCATTGACTTGTCTCTGCTATGGGGACAGAGAATGGAGCATCACTAACCTACAAGGCAGCTGACTTAAAGGGATCAACCAGGTGTCCTGTTTGCAGGCCATAGTGTATATGGATTTTCAAGATTTTTCAAGTTGTATTAGGGAATTCCATGCCTCTAGTCCACAATAATAAAAAAGAAAAATACTAATTGACCATATTTTCACTATTACCACAGCCAATCAGAGCAGGTATGCAAATTAACCCAACAAAGATGGTGGTTAATTTGCATACACTGAGGTAGGGAGGAGTGAAGACTGAAGACAGCATATGTAGAAGCAAGAAGAAAGCAGAAAGCAAGGCAGCTGTGGGAGGGAAAACCAGGGTGGGGCGAGTGGTGGTGTGAGGCTGCAGAGGCGGGAGGTGGAAAAGTGAGGGGCAGCAGAAGGGAAAGCATGGGGCAGCAATGGCAGGAGGGAAAGCACAGGGGAGTTGAGGGCTGCAGGAGGGAAAGCACAGGGGGGTGGGGGGCTGCAGGAGGGAAAGCTTAGGTTGGGGGGCAGAGAAGGCTGGAAGGAAGGAAAAGCACAGGGCAGCGGTAGTGGGAAGAAAAGTGCAGGGCAGAGGTGGCAGTGGGAAGGAAAGTGCCGGGGGAGCGGCAGTGGCAAGAGGAAAAGCACCGGGTGGGGGATAGAGGGCAGAGGTGGCAGAGAAAGCATGGAGAGGGGGGAGAGGTGGTGGTGGCAGGAGGAAAGCCTGCTGGAAGCCCTGTTCTTGCAGGAATCTTCCTGCAACGGGCCTCTAGTATAATATAGTTACAGACATGAACACAAATTTATAAGCTACATTTAAAAGAAGAAACGGAATGCTCTGCATAATAAAGGGGGCCAAAAGAAAACAGAGAAACTCTGGCCAGAGTGGCTCAGTTGGCTGAGCATCCTCATATGCACTCAGAGGTCACTGGTTTGATTCCCCATCAGGGCATAGGCCAGGGTTGTGGGCTCCATGTCCTGTAGGAGGCAGCTGATCCATGATGTTCCTCTCTTATTGAAGTTTATATAACTCTATTCTTTCTCTTTCTCTCTCAATCTCAAAATATCAATAAAAATATGTTGCTGTTGTTTTTAAGAGAGCCACAGAGAAAGGACAAGGTTGAGCAGCAGATGGATGAGCATTCCCCTGCAGTGCAACTACAGGGAGAAGTGCTTGTTGATTGCCGTGAGGGTGCTCACTCCCTTAGAGGAGGCAAATGAAATTCTTCATTTATTACATTTCTGTCCAGGAGAAGAGCTACTCCACCATGGAACCCAAACCAATTCCAGCTCTGTAGACCCAGTGGATGTAAAGGAGGAAAAGCCATTTTTAAATTCAGGAGTTAAATGTGAAGCCCAAGCAAGGACTGACTGTAACCAGGCATCTGACATAATAGGTAAGGCTGACTGGAAGAATGGGTGAGGTGCATCCCCGTACCAGGCAAAGGTCTGAGGCATGTCATCAGGGCCGTTGGAGACAGTAATGGTGGTCTTGGTTACAGGTAGAGAGTGGAGGGAACAAGGGCCTTATGCAGGAGGTCAACAGAAACACGTCCCAGTAATTGGAAAAAAATCAAAAACAGAAATGGTAAATCTAAGTGTTGTTATTCAGAGTGTATGTTTCTATATTGAAAGAGAAGAGGGTATTGGGGTAAAGGAAATTTTTCAGAAAATGAAGATATTAATGAAAATAGATGAGAAAAACACACACACGAAAAGAAGGAGAGGTATAAAGAAACACTTTTGCCATAAACCAGCATAATTGCCAAAAATGAGCAGAACCAAGAGACTTCATTTGGGATGATGGGCGATTAGTGCAGTGTGCAAATAATGTCTTTTTCGGTTGTACACTTGAATCCTGTACAGTTCTGTGAAGCAATGACATCACAATACATTGAGCTAAATATAAAAATAATCAATACATTAAAAATTACCAATATATAATTTGATGCCATTTTTAAAAGATAGCCTTTATGTAGGTATACTTCTCTTTGATCCATCTTTCTAGCTTAATAAATATTTAGATATGTTTGGAATGAATCAAAGAAAAAAAGAAATAGAATGAGGGTGGAGATATTAGAGAGTGGAGGTAAGAGCTAGAGTGTCGATGGGAGTTGAAATACAATGGGCATGGGGATTGCAGGTGTAGTGAGGTTGGATGTAAGAATTGTGCTTCAGGTTAGGCAAAGCTGCACTCTGTCCGTGAACGTCATGATCCCCGGATAGGGCCTGGAACAACCTGAAGGTCACACACTTTGGTCACAGACCAGAGGGACCTGAGTAACTTAGCTTCTATATCTTCCAACTACTCCCATGAAGGGATTTCCACTCAGTGGTCTCCATGGCTTCACTCCAAGACAATGTGTGCTTTTATTTTCTTTGTGCAGTGATTGACAGTCAGGACTTTGAAGAATTGACCAGTGGAGATGAACCCCCTGAAGCTTCCACCACAGCATTGAAAAGGGAACCAGGTAAAGAGGTGGGAGCTCAAGGCTTGGGGTGTAGGAATCTCAATGAAGAGGCACTGTTTCCTGAGGCATCAATTCTCAGTTCATCCTATACCACTGACTCAGTTTATCCTGGAATCCCATTCTCTGTTTATTTTACCTGATCTTTGGGATGTGCACTGTAATAAATCATTATATTTAGAATGACTTTACAAAGGATCTTTGCAAATTGTTTTTTTGTTTGTTTGTTTTTTTTAAAATATATTTTATTGATTTTGTACAGAGAAGAAGGGAGAGAGATAGAGAGTCAGAAACATCGATGAGAGTCATCGATCAGCTGCCTCTTGCACGCCCCCCACTGGGATATGCCCGCAACCAAGGCACATGCCCTTGACTGGAATCGAACCCGGACCTTTCAGTCCCCAAGCCGACGCTCTATCCATTGAGCCAAACCAGTCCTGGCGATCTTTGCAAATTGTGTCTTACCTTTTGCTTTACAACAACCCTGGGAAGTGAGAAAGATGGTCATTGTTTCTCATCTCTTGTTTTGAGATGAGAAAATAAAATCACACAAATATTTCAAATCTTCCTCAAAGTCAAATGGAGATAAAGGGAAGGACAATAGTAGCTTCCTGGATTCTGTGTTATTTCCTTTGTAAATCTGGAGCTCAAAACAGTTATCAAAATGATGTTCCCTCAATCCTGTGTATAGCATGAGTGGTCATCAGATCTGCAGCACTTTAGTGTACAAAGTGGAGATTGGGTTTTCCTTCCTACTTTCCCAGAGGCATTAGAAACATGTCTTTTGAGGTAAACTCATTAGGAAAAGAGCTATAAATAAAGATGTTACCTAGCCTTAATGTTACAATAAGACAATATTGTAAATAATACTTTTATTCTAATAGTTCTAAATATCCATCAATGTAAAATGTAAGTTTCCTTCAGTTTATAGAGTGCACATTGTGACTGTGGCTTAGTGTAGGCAAAGTGATCTGCAAAGTGATCCCCAAATAGGGCTGTGGCTCAGACACAAGAGATTATTTCAAGATGCACCAGTGGGTAGAAGAGGCTCCCTACCAACAAGTTTCTCAGCACGAGATTTCCGAGGTCTCCCCACAAAAAACAGCAGATGAAGGAAGTGTGAAATGGCAATAGAAGGGTAAGAGGTAGAATAGAGAGAAGTGTAGGATGGTTAGGTTCAAACAGAGCCCTTGTGCTCTTTGCCATTGACTTGTCTCTGCTATGGGGACAGAGAATGGAGCATCACTAACTTACAGGGCAGGTGACTTAAAGGGACCAATCAGGTGTCCTGTTTGCAGGCCATGGTATACATGGATTTTCAAAATTTTCATGTTGTATTAGGGAATTCCATGCTACATAAATTCCATGGGCACTCACTGAGACATCTAAGAATCTTACTGCTTGTGCAGTGATCAATAAACTAGATTCTTTAGAATCAAATAAAGGAATAGAGTCCCAAGAAACTACCTGTTCATGATTCTAAATTGTATCAGACAAGATTGTATTTCTGGACCAATATCCAGAGTCTAAATCCGGAGCTCTGTTTTCATGATGACTCTAATTCTGAAGTTCTCTTTATTCATTGATTCATTACTTCTGGGATACCATTTTATGCCTTTAGCTTATGAATCCTATTGCTAATAGGAGGAGGCAAGGATCATTCTAAATGGCTGTTTGACTAGCTGAGCAAAATCAATTGATATATTAAACATTTAGCAATAAATGTAAAAATAGTGTTTTTTTCAATGTACATTACCATATGTTAATTGGTAAAGATTTTATATTCTATAAAGCAGAGTAAGCATAATATTTCACTAACGTTGATAATTGGTCATTAATAAAAACATTAGAATGTTTGAAGTATATTTTGTGCAACATTAATTATTAGTGGTAAATGGATTAGACCAACTACTTTAAACTCTAATGAGACTTAAAGATACATTTTATTTTTCACATTATTTTTTGAATTAAATTTCACTTCTTTTTACAAAAACCTTAACAGGGAGATAGGATAAGTAGGTTATACCATCATTGTAGTGTAGGAGATGATAATTCTTGAGGATCATTTACAAATTCACAAGGAAAGTAAATGAGAGCACCAGGCTGAGACCAGCATCATGGTGCTTGGGGGAGCACCAGAAATGGGTTCAAGTAGAGAAAGGGGAATATAATCATCTCAACACTGACATTGTCCACAAAACCCTATCTGCTGGGTGAATTGTCTCAGGACTCTGTAAGACCACTGCAAGCAAGTACTGTTTTCTCTTTTATTTTATAGAGTCCATGGATTTCAAAAAATCACCTACATCTGGAAAAATACTTTGCAAAACAGGTAAGAACAAGCAAATAAGAACTGTT